CAATTACACTTTGGTGTCATTATTAATAAAATATTCGATAATTAAAATTAAAACACTAACACTTCAACACTGATATTTCAAATTGAGATATTTTACTATATACCTGATATACTTATATATTTTACTATATACGATAAAGTTGATGAAACTTTCCACATCCACACCAAATATATTTGACTTAGAAAGTAAACTAAAAGTTAAAAAATTGAAACATTTCTGTAGCTATTCTTTTGTTTTTCATTTCACCTCCAAGCAAGAAAATAAACGCCACTGGGAAGCAATGGGTTACTGAGAGGGGGGGGTAGGAACAGAGAGGACAATAAAAGAACAGGATTCAAGGATTCATGATGATTGACACTGTATTTAAATTTTTGAAGATTATAGTTGACATGAAAGAAGGAAACCAAAAGAGAGTTCCACAAACAAGAAGTGTGAGGGAAGAAACTGTTATCATATAACTTATGGTTACAAACTAACAATTTCAACAATAAAATTGACACCTATCTGCCAATCTAGTACTACAATTCCTGAAGACAAGGTACCAAAAAAGAAATCTTTTCAGAACAATTACCATGAAAATATTTATATAATGAGGCAAAGAGGAGCCATGCTATGGGGGTGAGAAAGTCACTGAAGCTAAGATGCCAGATCAGGACTGATAACTTAGCTTAGTTTTTGTCAAAAATCTCTAAACAAATAGCAAAAGCACTTATACCAGATTTGGCAGCGATATTTGTTACACAGACAAATAGTAGACTTATAAAATGTGCAGGATAGATTCTGGTGAGCAGACATAGCAACTGATCACTGTGTAATATGATTCTTGTCCTTGGGAAAAAAAACTCTTGTTTCCTGTTTGCTTACGCCTAGAAAGTATGAAACTTAAAACTTTGCTTTCATAACCAGAAAAATGATATTTCTGAAATTTACCTATTTCCATTACTGATGAATGAGAACAATCTCGTTCATGCAAAGTTAGAACAAAACGATGTATAATTCAAAAGTAACATTTATTTATTCTAGGAATACACAAGACAGATCACAAAAATTTACAAGTGAGTAGTTTTTCATAATTTACTCTTATACTGTAAAGTACTTTCACAAATCAGTCCCCAAATATAGACTCTCATCATGCTTTCATTATATGATTCTTGGTAGTAACATTCAAAGTGCAGTATATCCTGACCTTGCTCCTCTGAGTATGCCCCCATGTTCTCCTTGAATTTATAAAGATGAGCGTTATGGATATGGAATTTGAGGGACATCCTGCAGCCCATTTTGCTGTAGTATTTCACCATGTTCTCAACAAGCTTCATATAGTTTTTTTGCCTTGTGATTCCCCCAGGAAGCTCTGAGCCACTGCAACAAAGCTGTTCCACACTGCTTTCTCTGTCTTAGCGAGCTTCATGGTGAATTCCTTACATTCTATGATCTTTATTTGTGGTCCGATGAAGACACTGGCTTTGACTTTTGCTACAGACAACTTAGGGAAGAAGTCATGAAGGTACTTGAAGGCTGCAGACTCTCCTTATCTAGAGATGCGACAAATTGTTTCATAAGGCCCAATTTTAAGTCCAGTGGTGGAAACAATACTTTCCGGTGGCTCCCATTTGGCATTGTTCCTACTTACACCAAACTCAGTCCACTGTAGCCAATCCTGCCTGTGGTAGCATGCTGTGGTGTCCCTGCTGTCCCAAAGACAAAGATAACATTGAAACTTGGTAAAGCCGCCTTGGAGATCTATCAGGAAGACCACAATTTTGAAGTCTCTGATAACTTCCCAATCGTACTCTTCATATTTCAAGGTATCTAGCAAGATCTCAACACTGATATATTCCTCTGAGCTGCAGTAAGTGAGCCAGGAGAAGAGATAGATACATTTCCCCCATTATGAAGCTCTGAGGCTCCTGGGTAAGCTGTCAATGAAGAGGCCCCACTCACTGGGGTTACAAGTGATTCCAGTTGCCTCAACCAGATCAGTCACATTGTGGCAGAAGCAAAGCCCATCTTGACAGGTGAAAAACACTAGTGACACTTTCTCTGACCTGCAACTTGCACACGTTCATCTAACAAATTCCACTGCTTTAGTCTTGCTCAAAAGCTCAACATTGGACTTTGTGAGACCAAGATCTCTGATCGGGTCATTGAGGTCTTTTTGGTTGGGGTAGTATGGATTTCCCTCCTCATGTGCACCACTGTAATCTGGATCAATGACTTCCTCCGCTTCTGAAGACAGCTGGTCTCTCTTTGGAAGAGTGGGTACAAGGAACTATTGGCTGTGTCACACTAGGGTAGTAGATGACAAAAGGTCTGAATATATGATAACAGGTTCATTCTTGCCATCTCGACATTTGGAAGGGCATAAAGAAGCAATTGCTTGAGGGGTTTGTTGGTTTACTCCAAATTTATGAGATTGCAGATTTCATAGCGCTATTTTCCCATGTGCAGGTCACAAAAGCAAAGTCTGAAGCAAATGATAGTCATTTCCTTTGCTTTCTAGACAGAAGCAATTAAAAAATAATACTTACTGAAAAAGACAAAAAAGTCAAAATTTTGCTACACAAATTATTCCACTTCATGTCAGTAGAAAATGTGAAACGAAGAAAGTGCAGTGAATTGATCACCTGGGGATTGATGGCCCAAACTTTACTGGTTTTCAGGACAATAATGTTTAAAAGTTCATAAACAATTCCATTTATATTAAATTCCTTTATATTTTAAAAATATTATTAAAGCATTATGTTATGTTTGTCTCTTTTTTTTTCTTCTTTTTTTTTTTAATTTTGACTCCTTTGAAATAGATGCATTAAATTAAAATTTTACTTTTCCTTCGAGTTAAAAAAAAAAAAAAGAGAAAATAATGTAACTGATAAAATTGACTTTTTATGTCTTAAATGCTTAAATTAAAACTGATTTAATTATTCCTCCAAAGTTTCAGTATAAAGTCTGTTTATTTAAGACTAGCAGCTATACCCAGTTATTCGAGCAGAAAAAGTGTTCAGTTAGAATGGAGCAAAAACAGCATCATGGCTACAATTCACTGAAGTCTGTATTAGATTGATTGAAAATTGAGAGAGGTTTTAGTTTAAAATTTGTGTTGAAATCAATTTTTCGTTTTTCACAGTTTTTTGCTAAACGCAGTGGTGTAGAAATAAAAATGAGGTATCGTTGAGCTTGTCATGATGTAAGTAACCTATATACAGAGTTTGAACAAAATCAGAGGAAAAAAGTAGAATTTATCGATTTTGATCTGCTTTATCGATTATTGATTTTTTATGCTAAGAATCCAATGTACAATGTGCCAAGTTTCTTCAAAACCAGTTGGATGGATCTCAAATAAAAAGGTATCACACAGACATCCTCTGTTTATATATATATATATATATATATATATATATATATTTTTATATGTTATATATCTATCTGGATGTTATTGAGCTGGCGTATTTTTTCTGATATTGAGCGCTTTCTAATACAGGAAGACATATAATATATAAATAATTATATATATATATATATTTTACATTTATATATATATATATATATATATATATATATATATATACACACACACACACAAATATAGATAACTATACTTGGTTTTGAAAAACCCTAAATTTTTGATTTGCCAATAATCAAATCAATCTTGAAATAGGCAAAAAAAAGGTTTTAAAAAAAAGAGCTACAAACATGTAAGTATGTAAAAAAAATCGCACAGATACAGGTTTGGAGCCAAAAAAAAAAACCCCATACAAGTAAACAACTAACAAAAGAGCTCAATACAACCGTGAGAGCAAACCTAGATAAACCTAGTGAGCCAGACAAACCTAGGTAGGTTTGTCTGGCTCACTAATATTATATATATATATATATATATATATATATATATATAGAGAGAGAGAGAGAGAGAGAGATAATATGATTTTATAACTAGTAAAATTTAACAATAGATTTTACGTAAGGATGCCTTTAATGGATGGAATAGTATTGTAAGCATTAAACATGATCACATGAAGAAATAATTCTATTTCTATAATATATATTTTAATATTATAGAAATGGAATCTATTTCTTCATGCGATCATGTTTAATGCTTACAATCTTTTTTTTTTTTCAACTCAAGCAAGTATGGATGTCTGGAAGCATATTAAAAAGGATATTGTTGTTTTCATCAATAGCTTCCATAAAAATGACCCAATTATTTGATTTGATAAAGCCCATTTCATTATTTTATAATTGTCCTTCTATTCTGCCTATGCATTTACATAAAGTAAATATTTATTTATCTTGCTATTGATTTCTATTATTCAGTCAATACAGTATAGATGTACATCAGTGAAATGAGATCATCACCACATCAATTTCTAAATCTAGGTTGAAGACAACAAATAGAAACAATTGAGTTGTTTTAGTTTTTAATAAAACATTTTGAACACAAACATTTTGCTGATTGGACCAAGCACAAATGAGGAAGATTCAGTTTACTAATTCTTCATATGGAATAATAATTAGTAGTAAAGAAAAGAAAAGTTCTAAACCAGTTCAATCTGTTAATAAATATAATTGAATTATCTAACTCCCTAATGAAGAGATTAAATCTACAAGACTTAAATTTGGGTAGAGATATTTGTGAACTTTTTATTTTATAAATTTATTATTAATACTGTATTTTTTAGTCCCGATCCCTTAAAGAGACAGCTTGCTTTAAAAGATTTATCCTCCTATAATACACTTGTCAACAGTTTCTTTCCTGGCAAAACACAATCTTTTATTATTACTATAGTATAATTATAAATTCTTAAACAGGAAGTGAATTAACATAAAGCTTAAAGGCCACATTTGGCAACTTTATAACACCATGATTTCTAATTAAGATTTTAATTGATGTCAGAAAATAACTACAGTTAAATTTGCTATCTCATAATCTAGAGAGAATACTATACAATAATGCCAAATTTAATGAAAAACTTTTTTTAAAAATGTGGAAGAAAAATACTTACGGCTTTGAATGAAATTCGGTTGCCTTTTTAGTGCCCCAAATTTTGGGGGTAAAAGTTCTTCTTCGCCCTGACGTTGCTGAGATGTGGCCAATATTACTTTGACTACTAGATTGTTGGGAACTCTGTTTCTGTTGCACACCTGTGCCATTACCTCGACTGCCAGCTGAACTGATTGTTAGAGAAGCCTGAGCACAAGTGAAAGCTCCAATAGCAGCTGCTGTAGCAGGTGGTGGTAAAGATGGGGTACTTGTATTGGCACTACTGCTGCTACCTGCCTCACCATATACAGTGACATGCTGCAACCAGGCACGAAGATTCAGTTTTCGCACCAATTGCAACAAGCGCATCCTACGGTCAGAGGGTGTTGGAGCATCATGGTCACGCATTAGGATGTTTCTGGAGAGGACACTAGTGTAAAGATGGATTCTGCAATAAATTATACAATAAGAATCCAAATAAATGAAAAAAAACAAAAATATATATTTCCTTATTCTTATTTGCAAGCGGTAATAAATTAATTCCAAGCATCAAAAAATATCAGCAAAACAAATTTCTTTTATTTGATACATTAAATACATACAGGTGCGATGGATAAATTGTCGTCTAAATGACAAAATTAAAAATAACACTGACAACTTGTTTTAACGGATATATTTACCAAAATTACACACAAATATTTTGAAATACTAAAGAGTAAATTTATTCAAGAAAATCGCCGTTGGCTTTAAGTATGGCCTCCAAATGACTTTGGAATCTCCTGCAACTTTTCTGGATGGTCTACTTATTTAAATTAGTGAAAGCTGCCATAATCCTTGCCTTCAGATCATTTTTGGTCTTACAAGGAGTTTTGTTGGTCTCTAACTCAACTTCACCCTACACATAATAAAGGGGTCGCAGTCCAGGGAGTTAGGAGGCTAGATATAAGTGGTAATATAGTCAAAGAAATTGTCTCACATCCATGACTGGATTCTCCTGCTTGTGTGGCATGATGCAGAATCCTCTTGTCAGACATAGTCTTCCAGTAGCCACTCTCTTGACCCATGGCAGCATTACTTCCTCAAGGCACTTGATGTAGGCCTCCATGCTGAGTCTGAGGTCCTGTGGGAATATAAATGGAGGCATAACATTGCCATCACTAGTGATCACTCCAAACACTTTTGTAATCACCATTAGACTCATCCATCCAAATCCTTTGCGCCATCCTCAGATCAACACCCAAACACTCTGAAATGTTTGTATTGGAGCTTCCAGTGCGAATGCCAAGCAGTACAACATGCCATTTTCAAATTTCTGGTAGAATGAATTACGTCATAGTGAACTTTTTCTCACAGATGGTGCCCAACTGACATTATTGTACAGTTGACAAAATCAAAAACAAACAATATGCATTAGCAAAATTAAAAATATAAAAAGGTGACAATTTATCCATTGCACCCTGTACATATATACTAAAGAGTAAATTAAAGTTAAAAACTATACTTAATTTCAAAAAATGATCATAATTTTAATTTGGGTTGTCCACTCAAAATCATTGAGGACAAAAAAAAAAAAAAAAAAGATGGAGATTACAAGAAAACATCACAAAAACTTTCACATGATTTCTTTTCTTGTGCAGATTATAAAATCTAAAATGAATTCTTATAGCAATAGGAAAGACACAAATTACGAATTTAGTTTTTAAAATTTATATCACCACAAATGACAAATTTTTTAAACTCCTATTTCAAACTTTTGATATTCCGAAAAATTTGTGAAATTCAAATATTTTGTAAAGAAAATAAAATCAACAACGACAGTTTAATAATTCAGCATTAGTTTATGATTTAAGAAAAAGTGTTCCTTGTATTTCTTCTACTTTTGAATGACATCCATAAATGTAAGGGGGTCCTTTACATTGTTTTTAAATGGAATCAATGTTTGGGGAATGTGTTTTGATTTTATTTGGTATTTATAAAGCAAGTCTGTTTCACATCATGGAAACTTAACATTTTTAATAGGATTATAACAACCACAAATATGTTTGACCTGAAAAAAACTATAATGCCTTTTATAGTAGTGTCTGTTACAGAGTACAATTTTAATATTGCACTGGAGAAAACCAAATATCATGACTTTTATTTGAGTCTGTAAGATTTTAAAATGTTAAACATGTATAACAACTTAGAAAGGAACAACAAACAACCATACCCTACACTCCCACACTATCAAAAGTTTTATATATAAGTTCTTGGTTCAATCATGAAATTGTTTGCAGAAATGTTTTTGATGTTTGTCCATTTAGTCAGATTTTGGAGAGTGGGTTGGGTAAAGAACATATCAGTACCCTCTTATACACTTTACTTGGCTGATCTATAAATAATTATATGGTATTATAAAATTTATAGCAATGTTTTTTTTCTTCACTTTTTTTTTTTTTTTAAATCAATTCACCCCAAGCAAGGCAATAATGTCATAAAGACACAAGATGGCTACTGGGAGTGAAAGAGAATGTAAAAACTTTAAGAAGAACCAGAAACATAAACCCTAAACAGGTAACAAGGGATAAACCTCTACTCCTGTTCAAAAGTTTGGGGAGAGGAGTGAATGTGAAGGACAATACTTTGCTCCAGATTGAAATTAGATTTCCCCTTCACAGTTCATTTGGCATTTAGGACAGAAGTTGTAAGCTTAAGCACTTTCCATTCTATAGCATTGAATAATATTGACAAATAGATTTAATCCTCAAAGTACAAAGACACTTTACCAACAATATCAGCAACATTTTACCATTCTTTTGTATTTTCATTTATATTATGTCCTTGACAATAAATATTAGTAAAGTTTTTCTATCTCACCACCTTCTTAGACATATCCATTATTTTAACTACAAAGTAGAATGAATAATTATTATAGTAGTATATCTTTTTTAAATTAGGATGTTGTTTGAGAGCAATGGGATAGAAATTTAAAGTTCATTGTTTACATTCTATCATGTGAATCTCATAATGGACAAAAGACTAAAATACATTCTTTTCTCTTGTGCAATGCATCTGTCATATTTCAATTAAAAAAAAAATTGTAACTAAAATAAAATCTGAACAAGTATTTTTTTAAAATATTTTCAATGTTAGCAAAGATTTTTTTTAATGCTTACCTCAATTAGAACAAGCCATATTTGGAAGTCTTGTAGTTTAGATGTTAATATTTCTTCTTGAAACTTGAGATGACTAGCATTTGAAAATGCTGATTTAAGATTTATATCCAACTGAATGGACTAGATTTCTGAATGTTCACTTATAAAATTATGTAACAGCCTTAGTCTTTATGAGTTTAATTTTAGATATCACAATTTTAACACTGTAATTGACTTTAAAACCAAAATTTAAAGAAAAAAAGAATAAAGAACTTTTATGTGGTTACCATGTGCAGAAGGCGTTGTAGCATGTTTAAAGAAGATACGTGCCTGACATGCAAGTGTCAACACACCTGTCAGACAATTTTACAAAGTTGGAAGTTGGGTCAGAAAGGGAATATTAGACGCTTAAAAAAAAAAAAAAAAAAAAAAAAATAAAAAAAAACATTTGCAAATGTTATTTCATTCAAATATTATTAATTTTATTAAAATTTTTCACACAAATCATACAGTTGTGCAAATCATTGTTTTGTATCAGAATTTGTGAAGCCTCTCTATTTAGTGAACATTTCCAAATATATTGAAAATCACAAAACCAAGATGATAAAGAAGATTTAAAACTTTTCAAAGTCAGTCACAGATTCAATTTCTTTCATTTTAAAATATGTTTGTTAAGTGCAGAAATTAACAAGAGATAAAAATGTGGGTAATTGAAGACTCAGAAATTATTATTCTGAAGACCATAAAATACAATTTGGCATCTGTTTATAAATTGCTGCAAATTATCAACTCTTCACAATGCCTAGAACATATTAGTTGCATTTCATTTCTAATTTTGACTTCTATGCAAATAAAGTATCAAAATTTGAAAATATGAATTTTATTTAATCTGCTTCAAACTTCTGTACACAAAGAAATTCAAATTATATAACTGCAAACTTTTTCTTTCAGATTAAAAAGGCTTATGCCTGCACAGGAAATTGGGAATTTTTAGCTCTTCACTCAAGTTAAAAGTTCATTTGATATGACAAATAAACTACATACTAAAGTTAATCTCAAAGTATTTAGAAATTATTATTAATTAAAACAAAGAAAAATCATCAACAACAGACAGAAGAATTACTAATCCATTTTGTGGTAACAGACCTTATGGATTTCAGAGTTCGCTAACAAAAAAAAAAGGAAAAAATCAAAAGAACTACATATGTGTGAATGAACGAAAAGAGATTTGATGATAAATGTGCCATTTAATGAAAAACTAAACATTCATGTGCATTTTTATATAGCTTGAGAAAAAGAGTTTGTTTAAACCTGTACAACACTTTGATCTTTTAAACTTCACTGACCCAGCCAGAATTCCATCAGGGGTAAAAGGAACCTAAATGTATTCAGTGGACCATCCTCCAAACAAAGCAGTACCTGGCCCTAGGGGAAGGGCTATAGGTTAAACCCTGTCATCTTTGGTATCCATAAAGAGGAAATTTTTTTTTTGTCTCTAGTCTCATGTATACAAGGGACTCCTGTTAAAAACCATATTGTACCATATTCTATTCAAGCAAGCGTACAGATATAGACCTACTACACTTTGTTCTTCTCAAATGTGAAGTAAACCATTTCTACTTTGGTTTACAGCATCTTTGATTTGTTCATAAGTTGGTTAAGCCTGTGTTATAAAGATACATGTAGGTACAATATAGATGTGACTACATATAATTATAGCTGAAGATAGCTGTTAACGTGTTATTAATCAAATGAAACAATCTATAAAAAGTAGATAAGCATTCCTGGTTACAGATTAAGAATAATAATGTAATGAGAATAAATGTAACTATATTTAAATGAATTTAAGAAAAGCAATGTTTTGTTTTTTGTCTTCTTTGGAGGGACTTCTGACAAGCAAATTTTAATGAAAGTTCTGAAATGAAAATCTAAACTTAATAACTTTTAAATCCTGTAATATACAGTGGCAGGTTGCTAAATATACATATAAAATCTTTTATTCTATAGTGGGAAATAGAATAAGAAAAATAAAAGATTATATATATATATATATATATATATATAGGAACCTAAATGTATATATATATATATAACTTTCTGTTATTTCTCAACTACCATTTGTCTGTCACAGAAGTTAAAAGCTTTGGGCTGTTGATTTTCAAGAGAGTACATTCTTTTTCAAAGTCAATCTACACTTGTTGACAGACTATGTATCTTATACAGATATTTTGAAATCAAGTAGCTATACTAAAAAAAGCATCTGAAATTGAGGAATTGGCAATGATTTCTGAACAGGTATCCAATTCAAATTATG